GTGGACAAATACAGGGGGACAGAGGGAGTATCAAATATGTTTAAAATATTTTTTTATGTAATTAATATACAATATACTATTTGATTTAAATATATGTCAAAGGTTGAAAATAATTGACCCAAAAAAGTCAATACTGGACAAATATTCAGGGATGGAGGAGTAAATTTTTCTTACTCATATTTCACTTCTCCACGTGTAACTAGCCTAACCCTTGTCCACCATCATCGCTCATTTGGGTAGGGGTGAGCAAATTAACCAAACCAACTAAAAAACCGTTGACCGAAGACCAAAATAATCAAAACTTCGGTTTGAATTTGGGTTGCGATTAATCAATCTTAAAATTTTCGTTGATTCGGTTAATTCAGTCGGGTCTTGGTTTGAAGCTTTGGTTTATTCGATTAACACAAAAATCGAGCCTAATATGTTTAATTATTTATACTCCGTAGTTATAAGAACCATTGGCCCGTAATTAAATTATCAGCCCAATCTATAAGCCCAAATCGTCATTCACTCCTCATACTTCAATTCCCAAAGACCCAAACCCAAAACCCTTCTTCGACTCTGCTACTTCCTACAGCTGAGTCTGCTAATGCCGCGATGATAGAGTTTGCCATTGCCGAGTAGATTCTTGATATTTTGTTGCTGTCCTTCTCCTCTTCTTCGCCGAGTAATAGTGTGAGAGTGTGAGGTATCATGTATGTATCCCCATTCCCCATCTTGGCTTATTTTCTCCTATGTTTATTTTCCATCTTGGAATTGTAGGGTTATGATTCAAGGGAAGCATTTAATATACATTTTTTTATACTTCGAACAAGGATTTCCAATTTAGACATCTATCCCTAAGGTTTAATCAACAACACAATGGGTGGCTCAAGAATAAAAAAGGACTTAGTCTTGTTTAGAGAAAGTTTTTAGATTGGAATAATTTTTTTGAAAGCATAGGAGAGAAACCAAAAATAATTAAAGGGTAAGGTGAGAAAGTGTGCATATCTAATACAGTATCAAAGTGAAAAATTAGACCGGATATCATCATATCTAAGATCCTATCCACCTTGTGCCTAGTTCTAATTACTCCATCCGTCGATCATAGATATTCCCAAACACTATTGTGTGTTTATTTTTACAATTCATTTTATATAATAATATAGTCTTGTCACCACTCATTTTTACTATATTAATTTTATTTTTAAATTTTTACCCATATAATCAAAAAAATGGAATTAAAAATAAAGTTGGTCAAGTCTCGTAACGTGCAATGAGAAAAGATCTTTGGTTGGAGGTATGTTTTTACTATCATCGCTCATTTGGAGCAAACAAGATCACACTCTCTCTTTTTGACACTCGCTCGCTCTCCCATTTTTGTCTGGCTACAGTTGCTCTGTCCCTCCACCCCACCACAGTGAAAGTTCTGCCAATTCAATTTCCATTCTTTAATTTCTTTCCTTTTTTGAATTAATCACTGCTTTAATTTATTTTACTGAAGTAGAATTTATTTTATTGAAGTAGAAGTTTAATGTTTGTTACTGCACGTACACTATGTGCTTCATGAAATGTGCGTGAGAGCAATTTTAATTTTGATATCTTCTGGCCACCGCCGCTAGACTGCCACTCTACTTGCGGCCCCACTCATGTTGGATCCACACCGCCCATCCCATCTTCACCATAATCTTTCTTCGATGTTTAGATTGTTTAATTTTCTGTGTTTTTGTTTGCAATTTCGTAGTTGCTTATTTCTTCTATACATGGAAATGGAGTTGCTTGTTTCTTAATTCTTATCTTTTTACGGAGTAAATTGCATTATTATATGTCATTCTTATGGAGCATTTATTAATGATATTATGTGCACCATTTTCTAGGTATGAGTGACCCAGTGTCTGATGATGACTCTGACGACAAGGATATTGGAGAGAGTAGTTCTTCACAGCCACCTAAAGACTTCTCTGCTCCGTTTGGGGTCGCTTATCATGCCATTGGACAAGAGTTCTACCCAGTGTATGCTTGAGTTTGTTATTGTTGTTGCATGTCGTTGTTAATCTATGCTTATTTTAGTCTAGTTAATTGTTGTATAGTATCTCTTTGCTCATAACTCCTAATCCTTGTGTACACATACATTGATATGTGATACGATCACATATCAAGGAAGGAGAGGAGATTGAGAAATTGGGGGAAGAAGGTGAAGAGTTTAAGAGAAGGAAAAGTAGAGATTTAAAAGGGAAGGGAAGGGAAGAGAAGCCAATTCGGGGGAGGAGAAGGGAAGAAGATATTAGGGCTAGGAGATAATTTGATTCTTCATTGATAATCTTAGCAAAAACCTAATTCCTAAGAAACCTTTGAAGAAGTGTTATAATTTTACTCAATAATAATAAATAAATTACAATAATTAATTTATCTAATTAAACTATTAAAAGTAAATTGGGTTTCTCTATCTAACGATGGGGAAGAGAGGGCGACCGCCGAAAGCCATCACCGGAGATCCAACGGCAGGCTCATCCGTGGGAATGGAGAAGCAATTAAGCCCTACAACCACAGAGAAAGATATACCTGCAGACACAAGCACAGAGGAAGTCTCACAGATCTCTGAACCAACAGAAGCAAACGAGCTGGATCTTAACAAGGAAGGGAAGAAAACATATGCGGAAGTTGTGGGGATCCAGGAAGATCTTAACCTAGACCTAAAGTTTATTCCTACGGAAATGATCAATGGACAATCAATTGTGTGACTCACTCAAGAAGACATTGTTGATCCAAGTACTTACTGGAATTCAGTGTTAATGTGCTGTATACTGGGAGCAAATCCCCCGTTGGATGTAATCAAGGGTTTTCTCTCGCGTATCTGGAGCTCCTATGAAATTGAGGAGATTTCATTTCTGAAGGAAAGCCAATTCATAGTGAAATTTCGAAAGGAGGAGGATAGAAATGAGATTATAAAACGTAAATATTACTACATGGATAACAAGCCAGTTTTGGTTAAGGAATGGTTCCCAGGCAGCAAAATTGATCTAATGGAGCTCAAAGATGTGCCTATTTGGATTCAATTTCCTGATCTGGACCTGAAATATTGGAGCCTCTCTGGCTTGATCAAATTTGGGCGATGTAAGGACAACCTATTAAAAGGGACAAAGCAACTGCTTCTAGAAGGAAATGGGCTTTCGCACGCATCCAAATTGCATTCCAAGTGAATCAAGAGTTTCTGGAACAAATCAATTTTATTAATGAGGAAGGAAGGATTATCACTCAAGCAGTCACATATGAATGGGCTCCTTCAGTATGTACTCACTGCCACAAAACTGGGCATACTGTTGAGAAATGCAGAAGAAAGACAGATAATAAGGTCGCTTCCAATGCAAAAAGAATGGTGTGGAGACCTAAAACCAAAACTGTTATGGATGACCAGGAGAACATCACTAGGGAAGGGGAAACACTAATTCCTATACCTGCTGAACAACCAGTGGTCTGTAATGAGGAAATTGGGGAAAGATCTAAAGATGATGAGACATATGATATGGCTGTAGAAGGCTTCACCAAGGTCAACAAAAGGAAAGCCTTACGTAGATCATCTTTGGAAGGAAAGGAATCTAATTACATTGGTATCTTACATAAGGACCTCAGTGCAATCCCATATAAGGGACATCGCCCATTCCTACAATGATAGGCTGCTGGAACATTTGAGGCCTTAACAGCCTCAATAAACAACATGAAGTCAAAAACTTCATTAATAAACACAATATATCTATTTTTGGTATTCTGGAAACAAAAGTGAGGGATAGCAATTTTAAGAGTATTGAAAACAGAGTAGCTGGGGGATGGATGTCGGTGATCAACAATAATGCCCATCCTCTAGGAAGAATATGGGTTATTTGGAATCAGAATAAAGTGAAGTTAAAGGTATTGGACATGACGGATCAACTTATACATCTACAAGGGAAATTTATTGGTGATAATAATTAATAAGGAGTTCCTTCTGACTTTTATCTATGCACACAACGAACAGAATAAAAGAAAGGACCTATGGGATTCTTTACAGAGACTTAGTGATTCTATTCCTTGGTGTGTACTGGGTGACTTCAACTCAGTTTTACATACGGATGAGAGAGTAGGGGGGATCCCTGTCAGACTTGAAGAGACTATGGACCTTCAAAATTGCATGACTACATGTGGTCTGGATGATCTTCCTTATGAAGGCCCTAAATGCACTTGGACTAATAACCAAGGGATAGGGAAGATAATTTATTCTAAATTGGACAGAGTCTTAAGAAACTTGGAATGGATAACCAAGTATGATCTAAAAGTTTATTTTAAAGAAGCAGGGGTTTCTGAATACTCTCCCATGCTACTCCAACAGATCCAGCAAACAAGATCAACACATAGTTTCAAATTTTGTGATATGTGGACACTTGACCCACTCTTCTCTTCAATAGTGGCTGAAGTCTGGGACCAAACACATGAGGGGTTTCCTATGAATCAAGTTGTGCAGAAGCTCAAGCAACTTAAACACCCTCTGAAAAAATTGAATAGAAGTAAATTCCACTCTTTGGAAACCCAAATTGAAGAAACTAGGGCCAAACCGCATGATATCTAGGAACATCTGAAAGGGGATAGGGCAGATAACGATATGATTGATATGGAAAAGCATTTGAAAAAGGAGCTGCATCTTAAACTCAGGGCAAGCTTTCTTATGAAAAGCCAACAAGCTAAAGTTGATTGGATTACTCTTGGAGATCAAAACTCAAAGCTATTTTATGCATGGGTTAAAAAAAGGAAGCTTCAAAACCACATCACTTCCCTGACTAATGCCAATGGAATTGAGAAAGAGGGGAAAGAAAAGGTTGCTGAAATCCTTGTTGAATATGCGAAGAAACAGCTGGGGACTAGCATTGAAACAGAGAGTATCAACAAGGACATAGTGGAATTGGGCAATAAGCTAAGTATTGAACAACAATTGGTATTGATATCACATGTTACCCCTGAAGAAATTAAGAGCTGCATATTTGAAATTCCTAACAACAAAAGTCCAGGCCCGGATGGTTATAGCAGTGGTTTTTTTAAGAAGCAATGGTCCAAGGTGGGTGAGTTAACAACTAGAGCCATTATGAGTTTCTTTGAGAAAGACGACACGCTTAAGCAGATCAATGCCACCAATCTGATCTTCATACCAAAAAAGGAGGAACCAAAATCCCCAGTTGATCTAAGGCCCATTGCCTGCTGCAATGTCCTGTATAAGACCATTTCTAAAATATTATGCAGAAGGCTCAAGAAGATTCTGCCAAGTATTGTCAGCTTAAACCAAGGGGCCTTCATTGAAGGGCGAGAATTAGTCCACAATGTACTCCTTTGCCAGGAATTTGCAAGAGGGTATAACAGGAAGAACATCTCTCCACGTTGTTCGATGAAACTGGATCTCCAAAAGACCTATGATAATGTGAGTTGGAAAGCTATTGAGCAACTGATACTATACCTGAACTTCCCTTCCAGATTCATCAAATGGATTAGCTATTGTGTTACATCTACCTCATATTCCATACATCTTGAGGGGCAGAATTTTGGCTTCTTTAAAGGGAAAAGAGGGCTAAGACAAGGTGACCCTATTTCCCCCCTCCTATTTGTTCTTATCATGGAATACCTTACAAGATCTTTCCAATATTTGGCTACCAAAGAAAATTTCACCTATCATCCTATGTGCAAATCTTTGAAAGTTATTAACATTGTATTTGCGGATGATTTGATTGTGGCATGCAACAGGCCTCTCTGTAAATCCTGTGAAATCTGAAATCATTTTTGGAGGAATTAATAAGGAAATGGAGGAGAATCTATTAGGCCTGACTAACATGAACAGAGGTAAATTCCCCTTCAGATATCTTGGAAGCCCCATCACATCGGCAGTAGTAAGGAATGTGACAGATTGGTGGAGAGCATGACCACCAAAATTAATACTTGGACTTCTAAACACCTGTCCTATGCGGGTAGAGCCAACTTAATCAATTCTGTTCTGTTTGGTATTATGAATTTCTGGAGCAGACTCTTCATAATACCAACAAAAGCGATGAACAAATTTCAAACCCTGTGCAGAAACTTCCTTTGGGGGTCTTCGTGTGGCTACAAAACCCCGTTAGTATCATGGGAAGATTTGTGTACACCTAAAAAGAATGGAGGGTTAGGTCTAAAGAACCTAGTCCTGTGGAATAAGGCCTGCATTATGAAATTAGTTTGGGACAAGAGAGGTATTTAAGGGCCTAGGCAACATTACCTCTTATTCTCCTAAACTGGGCTACAACTGGCTGTTTGGACAAAAGCAAGAACCTAGTTGGACTAAGGTTGTTTGGAGCAAGTACACCATCCCTAAACACAAATTCTTACTATGGATCATATGCAAGGATATGCTGCAAACCAAAGTAAGGATCAATAGATACACTCCTATGGATACTCTTTGTATACTGTGCAATGCTGGGGCTGAGGACAGTCAGCACCTCATATGTAATTGCCAGTACACTAGGGATGTATATTCAAAGGTTTGTGATTGGACGCAATATATATGTTTGGAGGCTGCTCAGTGGGTGAAATCCTAGAGAGGATACAAAATATCTCCCCTGCTAGACAAAGGCTGAAATTAATAGCTGTATTTAGTGCTTGTGTCTATTACATCTGGAGAGCCAGAAACCATCTCATTTTCAGAAACAGGGTCTCATCTGTGGAAGAAACTTATCAACGAATTAAGTACCATGTGTGCACCTTTCTGCATACTAAAAAGGAAAGCTTTAACTGAGCTTTCAATCTCAAAGGGTTATGGGCGCATAAATGTAGCTGTGAAGAAGGGGGGGGGGTCTGTTTGTAATGTTCTTGTCTAGCCTCTGTGGAGATTGAGGATTGCTATCCTTCACTTTGTTTCCAGATTGTAATCTGTTTTTGAGTGTTAATATATTCTGCATTTCGTTTCAAAAAAAAAATTAAATTATTAAAATATCTAATTAACTAAATAATATAAATTATTTAATTAACCCTTCCGTATCAATATGGAGTTCAACTCGTCAGTATGTTTAAATTGTCATTATTTTGCATTCTAAATTGAAGCAGGTATCAAGAAAGATGTGATAATGCAATTGCATCGGCAAACAAGTACAAAAGGGATAATGTAGATGTTACTTCCCCTGATGCTATCTTTCTCTTACAACCACTGTAAGTGTTGTGCGGAGTACTTCCAAAAATCAGTTTTACTAACAATGTAACATTTTTTTATAAGTACATAGTACATCATTAAAATCATTTGTTTTACAGCTATGAACAAGGTCTGATCCCGAACATGGGTAGCTTTGACATTGAGCCTTATTTGAACGTTTCGGCCTTTTGCATGTTAGTATTTCCTATCCTTCTTTCATTTCTATCTAATAGAAATATTATAAACAAACTAGTATTTAACCCGTGCAACGCACCGTGTTTAACGCATGTTATTTTTAACTTTGCTAATTTTTTGTTTTAAGTAAATAATAAAAAAATTAATGTAAATATAATATAAAATGTTAAATATAATTTAAGTTAGCATACCAGAGTATGCTAACTTAAATTCATGTATATAAAAAATTGAAAAGAACGTATAAATGTATTAATTAAATCCAAATTTTTTGGAAAACATCAGGGTAAACCATATTTTTCGTGCAATTGCATGAGTTATCGTTGTCATCTAAAACTAACACTTTCAATCCTTTCTTAATTTTCACTCGTGAAATTGCAACATAAAGTTCACTGTGAGTGAATACCGATTTGGTCAAGAATATCTGTTGTTAATGATGATTTTTTTCTATAGAATGTTATAGTACATAATCATCACTAAAAAAATGATATTTCTCGACATTTAGTAAAATATAAGTAACAAATAAAGATGGTACGAAAAGAAAAAAAATCCTTAAAGAATGAAACTATTACTTGGATGAGCAGATGCACACTGATTATGTGAAATTGATATTGCTACAAATGTGTTCTATAGTTAGAACGTCATGGAAAATGCTAGGGGTACACCAAAAGTTTATCCCAAACATCCCCCATCCCCCTCCATCACCACAAAAAAGGCAAGAAAGATTCAAAAAAAAATAATAAATAAAAACAAAATAAAACTAATGGTAGAAAGGGGAGTGGTGTACATTTGGGGTATACATTTGGTGTACCCCTAACATATCCCTTAATCCATTTGTCTGAATAAACATCTAAATATAATATGAAATTGTTTATGTCCTCATGAATAATGATTTTCAACATTAGCCGCACAACCTGTTTTTTTCTTTTCTGTTTTTTAATTGGTCTCTCCAATTTTAAAGATTGCCCAATCTAACTTAATTTGTATATGTGGCCAATTTAATGTATAACAAAAATATTTTTTATTAATAAATCTTCATCTTAAGGTCTTATAATTTTCTGTTTTTTTAAAACTTCGTAAATATAACTTAATAATGAGTAGTTTTCTTTATTTAGTTTTCAAATATAAGATATTTCATAAATAGTCATTAATTTGTGGAGAATATACATGAAATAGTCCGATGAGGAATTGGGTTAAAAGATTTTTGAGAAATTTTGCGATTAAATAAGATTATATTCCAAAAAATATTTATATTTATGTGATTAAATAAGATTATATAGTAGTTGATTAGTACATTACAACTAATAATATTCATATTTAGTATCCCCTTTAGTAGTTGATTAGTACATTACAATAAATATATGATTAAATAAGATTATGTTCCAAAAATAATAATCAGGGGCATATTTATAAATGTTTTTAGGTACTTATTATCCAATGCCGAAGCAAGTTTAATAGGGGTTGTTTTAAGTATCAACGAATTTATAACATGTTAAAGATATCTACATTCTCTTAGTTTAGTTAAACAATATTTAGTCTCTATTTTAAAGATTTTTATGGATTATAATTTTATTATGTAATTAATATTGATTAAACTAATATCATTTTTTATAAATCCACAATTGAAAAGGAATGAGAAGTATGAAATCTTTTATGTCCATAGTCATTGAATTCCCGAAGTAGAGCGAAATATATAGCAAGATGAATAATATGTTTTGAATTAAAAAATAAACGTATATGATGCAGTATATAGATATAAGTGGCCAGAATGGTATACTCAAAGTCTTTAAACGTATTTAAATTGTAAATTAAATCATGAAAAACCAAACACTTATAAATCATAAAATGTCTAGTGGGCAATCTTAAATAAAAACTTATTAAATCAAGATTGTATCCGCTGAAACTCTAAGAGGGTGTTTGGCAGTGCACTGCTTTTAACAATTTAGCTTCTGCTTTGAATGAAAGTGATTTTACTCTGTTTGGCATGACAGCTTCTGCTTTTCACCAACATTATTTTGTACATAGAACACCGTTTCGGAGAAGCAGGTATGAGGTGCTTTTGCTTTCAGCATTTGTAGAAATCACTTTATACATAAGCTAATCACTCCCAAACACCCTCTAAAATGAAATATCTATTCTTTAGTCTCTCTATTTTGATGTTCTTCATCTTCTTGCTCGACTCATCCCCACCCACATGATAATGTTCCACGTCTTTCATTCTTTGGTTGATAGTAGTCTCGGTGAAAACATCCACATCTTGTTCCAAGCGATTATTCTTAGATTCTCCAAAAGCTTCAATCAAATTCTGCATGACAAAGTTTAAAAACATTTATGAATTTTAACCAAGAATAAGTGTTGTGGTGAACCGGCGGGACGGCCCTCCTGGCCAGCCGAACCGGCGGTCCATCCTACGGCACCAGCGGCGGCGGCTTCGGGCGTGGCAGTGGCTTGCCTGGCAGCGGGTACAGCGGCGGCAGCGCAGCAGGGGCGCAACTACGGTCGTGGTGGAGGCGGCCGTGGACGTGGACGAGGAAGAAACTCTTGCTCGCAACGACACCCGCATGACAGCTATGTACCTTGGAACTCACTGCATCCCAACCCCGGCTCGGGTCTTCTCGGCCCCCGCCCACCCAACCCTACCCACCAAAATGCCCTTGCCTACTACACCTACAACCCCAACCCCAACCCCACACCCACAGCCCTAGCACACCAATTTGATACCATGACCCTACGAGAACCCACATGGTACTTCGACATGGGAGCCACACACCACATAGCCTCCGATCCAGGTACTATTTCCCATGTCTCTTCTCAATCCTTAACTTCTCCATTACATATTATTGTTGGCAATGGTTCAAAGGTGAGCACTACGGCGGTAGGCACCCACACCCTCCTCACCGACGTAGCCGGGAGCATGTTAAATATATTCTATATTTATGTTAATTATATATTCTATATTTATTGTACACATATTGTTTCCTATTGTAGAATCCTACCATGATTAGGATTAGGAATAGCTTGTGTATATAAACTCATGTACTCCCACATTATTCTTCAAGGAATAATTCTTCAATGACTAAGAGGGAGACGCGATTTAGCGAGATGAGCAAAAGGGGAGATTGGGATTAAGTGATTTAGAAAGAGGGAGATGGCGATTTCTGAGGCAAAGAATAGGATATGGTCTTGCGATCGAAAATATATATTAAAAACTAGGGTAATAGGTTTTATTAGTGTGTTGGTCTAGACCGAATGGTATTCAGGTATAAACCACAACGGATCGAAACCCAAAATCAGAATTACTCCAAACCAAAAACTCGCCAGATATCATTTTATATTAGGTTTGGTCTGGACCTACAGGTCTGATTCGGTCGGTTTTTTCAGGCAAAACCTAAGCATGAGCACCCATAGTCTCTCATTTCTGTTGATCAAGTTACAGGAGAATAATAGCAAATAAATATTATTATTAATTACCTTCGTTGTTCTATATTTTCCTTATTATATTGTTACCATGATTCATATTCTAGTGTATTAGGATTTTTTCGTATTCTTTTCATATATAGCAGTAGAACCTTTATTATCCCACTAGACATTATTAAGTTCTATTTAGGGAATAAAAAAGTTTAAGTTCTACATTGGTAAATGACTTATGTTTTAGTCATATTTAGGGTAAAATTTTAATTTTTAATTATTATGAAATTGTTTTAGGATGAAACGCAATTTGTCCTTCATTTCAATCCTTATTGTACACAACCTACCGTTTGTCTTTTAAAAAAAATGTGATTTTGCAGTTTTTCCAAGTGTGAATGTAATTAGCAAACAGAGAAAGAATAAATTATCATTGTAATTTATTAATTACTCTTTTTATTCAGGAGGCGATTGTGCAACATATTGTGTGAGAAGGGGATGGCACGCACACTAAATGAGTCTCTTAAAGCTATCGGCGGTGGTAGGATAAGTGTGCGTGGCTGGATTAATAGAGACCCTCTCTATCTTGTAAAAAGGGCTGAAGGGGAAAGCATTGTGAAACACGGGGAGGATGATTAGTCAATGGCTTGGAAAGCTCCTAAGACATATTATATCCTTTTTTATATCTATGGTGGATATAGCCATTCTTTATGGCTTTTTATTTATTTGGCTTAGACTTCTTTACTACTTTCTGTCAATTTTTCATTTTTTTATTCAAATAGCATTCAAAACAGTCTTTCCATGCATTGTGTGTGAGGGATATCATATTTTATGATAAGATGATAAACAACTTATGTTAGAATCTCTAAGCCTCTAGTAGCATTGTGGATAGTCTTAGTGTTCAAATTATACTTGCTCCTTAAAGAGAGTCATATTTTAACATTGAATATGTGAGAAAATCTATGTTCAAGAATAAACCAAACAAGGATGGTAAAACACAAGACAAATCAGTTATAGAAAATATAGAGTATACATTAAAAGAAACTAATTATGATACAAATAAAATTAGTTTTTAGAATTGAAATTAAATTGCATACACCTGGTTTTGAGAAACTAAATGACGAATGACGACGTACTTAAAAATAAATTAAGCATGCTGAAAAGGTCTGAAACACAAATCTGTCTGGAAAAAAAATTTAGAATAATCTAAAACTCAAGTCCTGTTGATTACTCCATCCGTCCAAAATTAAGGTGAAAAAGTAAAAAATGAGAAGATAGGGTGAAAAAGAGTGACTTATTTTAAGGGTAGTTTAGGTATTTTATTTTTAAAAGTTTACGAAAACAACTAACATGCAATTTATTTTGGGACGGAGAAAAAAGACAAACATGCAATTTAAAATGGGATGGAGGGAATATTTTTAGTAATTTACATGACCATGTTTAATAATATAAATACATCTTAACTCCTATTTCAAACATAAGAATATGAAAATCTAATTTTAATATATTTTTAATATTTTACTCCTATTTTAATCTATTTCCGTAGTCTCTACTGCTTATATGCTTCATTGGTCCTTAATTAAATTATCAGCCCAATCTAATATAAGCCCAAATCAATGCACAAAATCACTGTCATTCACTTCTCAAAACCCAAACCGCAAACCCTTCTACTTCCGACGCTGCGATTGCCGATGATAGAGTCTGCGATTGCCGATGATAGAGTCTGCGATTGGCTATGATAGAGTGGATTTTTGTTGCGGTCCTCCTCTTCTCCGCCGAGTAATAGTGTGGGAGTGTGAGGTATCAGGTATGTATCCCCATTCCCCATCTTAGCTTATGTTTATCTTTCACTATTCGAGATTGGAATTGTAGGGTTATGATTCAAGGAAAGCATTTAATATACATTTTTTTATACTTCGAACAAGGATTTCCAATTTTATTGAAGTAGAAGTTTAATGTTTGTTATTGCACGTACACCATGTGCTTCATGAAATGTGCGTGAGAGCAATTTTAATTTTGATATCTTCTGGCCACGGCCGCTAGACTGCCACTCTACTTGCGGCCCCACTCATGTTGGATCCACACCGCCCATCTCAACTTCACCATAATCTTTCTTCGATGTCTAGATTGTTTAATTTTCTGTGTTTTTGCTTGCAATTTCGTAGTTGCTTATTTCTTCTATACATGGAAATGGAGTTGCTTATTTCTTATATCTTATCTATTTTACGGAGTAAATTGCATTATTATGTCGTTCTTATGGAGCATTTATTAATGATATTATGTGCACCATTTTCCAGGTATGAGTAACGTAGTGTTTGTTGGAAACAAATTTGCTGGCAAACGTAAGAAGTTTGATGATGATGACGACGACGAGAATATTGGGGAGAGTCGCTCTTCTGAGCCACCTAAAGACGTCACTGATCCGTCTATTGGACAAGAGTTCTACCCAGTGTATGCTTGAGTTTGTTATTGTTGTTGCATGTCGTTGTTAATCTATGCTTATTTTAGTCTAGTTAATTGTTGTATAGTATCTCTTTGCTCATAACTCCTAATCCTTGTGTACACATACATTGATATGTGATACGATCACATATCAAGGAAGGAGAGGAGATTGAGAAATTGGGGGAAGAAGGTGAAGAGTTTAAGAGAAGGAAAAGTAGAGATTTAAAAGGGAAGGGAAGGGAAGAGAAGCCAATTCGGGGGAGGAGAAGGGAAGAAGATATTAGGGCTAGGAGATAATTTGATTCTTCATTGATAATCTTAGCAAAAACCTAATTCCTAAGAAACCTTTGAAGAAGTGTTATAATTTTACTAAATAATAATAAATAAATTACAATAATTAATTTATCTAATTAAACTATTAAAATATCTAATGAACTAAATAATATAAATTATTTAATTAACCCTTCCGTATCAATATGGAGTTCAACTGGTCAGTATGTGTAAATTGTCATTATTTTGCTTTCTAAATTGAAGCAGGTATCAAGAAAGATGTGATAATGCAATTGCATCGGCAAACAAGTACAAAAGGGATAATGTAGATGTTACTTCCCCTGATGCTATCTTTCTCTTACAACCACTGTAAGTGTTGTGCGGAGTACTTCCAAAAATCAGTTTTACTAACAATGTGACATTTTTTTTATAAGTACAGAGTACATCATTAAAATCATTTGTTTTACAGCTATGAACAAGGTCTGATCCCAAACATGGGTAGCTTTGACATTAAGCCTTATTTGAACGTTTCGGCTTTTTGCATGTTAGTATTTCCTGTCCTTCTTTCATTTCTATCTAATAGAAATATTATAAACAAATTACTCTATTCGTCCTAAAATTAATTTTTAAGTTTTACTTTTGCGGTCAAATCTCTTGAACTTTGGCCGCGTATTATAGAAAAAATACATTGAATTTTTATATAAATTCAATATCAATAGATTGATTTTAAAATATACTCTTGAACTATTTTATTTTTGTAACATATATTTATATATAAATAGTAATAATAATGGGCAAAATATTGCAATAAAGAACGTAAAAAATCAAATGAGAAATTAATTTTAGGACGGAGAGGGTATTATTACTTTCTATTCGGTATTATACTGTTATCGTATATAGTTTTTCTTACTTTAATTATTAATCCTACTTTAGTTAGAATCAATCTGTATGCTCTCCCTATATATAATAATGGAAGTCATTGAACACTCTTATAATTGAATAAGAATACACATATATTATCAAATCATATTGTGGTATCAGAGGCTTCTCTCTTAAAAACCTAAACCTGAATTTTTAAGTATTGTATAAGCAAAACACAAAAAAATTTACTTGCACACAAAAGTTAGGGGTGTTCAAATAAAAAAAGTCACACAGACATTTTATCATACTTATATTTTGCAATAACACAAATGGAATATGACTCTTTACCGGCTTTGTTTGGGCAATGAAGAACTGCAGAGATTTTGGAGCAATTCATTGAATTATAACAAATATATCAATAAATAAATAAATCAAAGAACCTTGTTCTGGAACATCCAAAATCCAGGCAATGAAATCAATGGAAGCATGTCTAGAATTCCACACAGTGGCGCTGAGCTCTGATGTACTCCATATGTATATATACACTAATAAAGTCGGAGACGACAGAGGACTCTGAGGAGAAGATGTATGATGTAGAAGACAGATATTGAGAGGAGGGAAGATGACTAAGAGGGAGATGCGCTTCAGCGAGATGAGCGAGAGGGGAGATGGGGATTCAGTGATTCAGCAAGAGGCAGACAATGATTTCCGAGGCGAAGAATAGGATAGGGTCTTGCGATTCAAAATATTAGAAACTAGGGTAATAGGTTTGGTTTTATCAGTGTTGGTCTAGACCGCATGGTATTCGGTTATAAACCACAACGGATCGAAACCCAAAATCAGAATTACTCCAAACCAAAGACCTGCCCGATATAATTTTGGATCAGGTTTTGTCCGGATGAAACGCAAATTATCCTTCACTTCAATCCTTATTCTACACAACCGACTGTTTGTCTTTTTAAAAAAATGTGATTTTGCAGTTTTGCCAAGTGTGAATGTAATTAGCAAACGGAGAAAGAATAAATTATCTTTGTAATTTATTAATTACTCTTTTTATTCAGGAGGCGATTGTGTAACGTATTGTGTCAAAAGGGGATGGCACTTACAATTAATGAGTCTCTTAAAGCTATCGGCGGTGGTAGGATAAGTGTGCGTGGCTGGATTAATAGAGACCCTCTCTATCTTGTAAAAAGGGCTGAAGGGGAAAGCATTGTGAAACACGGGGAGGATGATTAGTCAATGGCTTGGAAAGCTCCTAAGACATATTATATCCTTTTTTATATCTATGGTGGATATAGCCATTCTTTATGGCTTTTTATTTATTTGGCTTAGACTTCATTTCTACTTTCTATCACTTTTTCATTTTTTTATTCAAATAGCATTCATAACAGTCTTTCCATGCATTATGTGTGAGGGATATCATATTTTATGATAAGATGATAAACAACTTATGTTAGAATCTCTAAGCCTCTAGTAGCATTGTGGATAAGTGTTCAAATTATACTTGTTCCTTAAAAAGAGTCATATTTTAACATTGAATATGTGAGAAAATCTATGTTCAAGAATAAACCAAACAAGAATGGTAAAACACAAGACAAATCAGTTATAGAAAATATAGAGTATACATTAAAAGAAACTAATTAAGATACAAATAAAATTAGTTTTTAGAATTGAAATTAAATTGCATACACCTGGTTTTGAGAAACTAATTGAAAAACACAATCCTTAGCACTACAAAAATGAAGATGCAAAATAAAGCATATATAGATTCTTAGAGCAGCCTACCAATGAGACATTATTAAAACTTCAACAGAAACAAATTGAAGAATGACGACGTACTTAAAAATAAATTGAAAAAGGTCTGAAACACAAATCTGTCTGGAAAAAAAATTTAGAATAATCTAAAACTCAAGCCTGTTGATTACCTCCGTACCAGATTAAATTTTCTGCTTACTAATCATATGACCAAGTTTTATTACTTTTTTCCCCCTATTTTTGTTAGTCATTTGATAAAATAGTATATAGTTTTCTCACCACAACTTTTGTAGATCTTTTAATGTAGTATTTAAATAAGTATTTTTTATTTTTTGATTCTACACCATTTTCATATAAAATGATTTAAAACAAACTTAGTCAAACATTGTAAAATAAAATAGGCAATTTAAATTACGACGGAAGGAAATAGAACTTAAAATGTGAAATTTACCTAAATAATACTCCGTACTAGAACATATTATCTATTTCAATGTAGTATCATATGTTTTTATTCTCAATGTAGTACCACTGGTCATTGTAAGCTGGTCATTGTTTAAGTAAATTTCTATCGCCACAGGATATTGTTCAAACTAAATGTCTACCATCACGGGACATTGTTCCCGTATGTAGACATTATTCAAGTACATTTTAGGGAATAAAAAAATTTAAGTATTATATTCGAAAATGACATACTTCCTATGTCCCAAAAAGTTCTCCATGTTTCAAAAGAATCGTTTCTCCAAAAGTTCTTTCCATTTATATTAAAAAATCAGTTTTACCCCATACTTTCTTATATCCTACCTATCACAGCATATCTTTTTTCTAATAATCTACACATCACATCTTACTTTTACCCATCACATCAATGGTATTTTTGGAAAATCAACACAAAATTTTCCCTTCCTTATTTTATCACTTTCGTCAATATATCCTATCTTTCTGGGATGGAGGGAGTATGTTTTAGTACAATTAGTGTAAATTTCAGTTAAAAAATTGGACAGTTTTGTAATAAATATATGTGGAATAAATATGAAACTAAGAAATAAAAAATGCACCAAGAATTATGAATTCGTCAAATCGGGGGGGGGGGGGGNTATGGAATTAAAGAAAAGTAAATTTCCAAAACAGTCCTTTGTAATAAGGAGTTTTCCCAAATTAGTCCTTAATACGTTTTAATTACCTACGTGGTCCTCTTTAATTGAGATTTATTCTTAAAATAGTCCTTTGTAATAAGGTATTTTGCCAAATCAGTCCTAAATAAGTTTTAATTATCTATGTGATCCTCTATAATTGAGATTTATTTTCAAGATAGTCCTTCATAAATAATGTTACTCAAATGAAGATTAATTGAGGGTATTTTTTCTCTGTTAAATTTAGAACCAATTCTTAAAATAATCATTTACAATGAATTGCATTCCCAAAATGGTTTTCTAATTAAAAATGTGTATTTGATTTGAAATTTAATTTTTTTTAAGTTTTATAAATGTATTTGGTTTATCTCTATGTAATAAAGTTTTTTTCCAAATCAGTCCTCAAATGAGGATTAATTGGGATATATTTTGGTATTTTGATCATCCAAATTTAAAGTATATACTCGAAACAATCATTTCTGTACAATTAAATGTAAAATTTAAAAAATACATTGACTACAATTAATTAATAAATTATTTAAAACTTAAAAAAATCTTTTAAATTTCAAATCAAATACACATCTTTAATTAGAAAAACCATTTTAGGAAAGCACTTCATTATAAATGATTATTTTAAGAATTAATTCTAAATTTAGCGAATAAAAAATACTCTCAATTAATCATCATTTGAGTAATATTATTTACGAAGGACCATCTTGAGAATAAATTGTTCGTCGGTTTAGTCGTTGTGCCCACGCCTTAGAGGGGGGGGGGGGTGAATAAGGCGTTTGAAAATCTTTTCGGAGTTTAATAAAAATGGTGTTGGCAAATGCGGAAGCAATAAGTAAAACGCAAAAATAAAAGCGTAAAGTAAATGCACACCGATTTTATACTGGTTCGGGAACTCCCTACTCTAGTACCTTAAGGCTCCTCCTTAAGGATTTCTGAATCCACTAAGTCTCGGTTTCTTGAACTCCGTCAAAGCACCGCACTAGTTTGGCAAACAACCCTTGCCAATAGGATTCACTCTGAGATTTTATAACGGCTATCTCGTACCGTTCCCCCAAGGATTTCAAAGGCTATCCTTGAACCTTTACCCAAGGATTTATACGGCTATCCTTAACCGTTACAACGTGAGAATTTAACGGCTATTCTCGACCGTAAGAAGGTGTGTTTGAAAAACACAAACAAGAGTTCTACACAACGGCTTGAATATAAAAATGAAGAACAAAACTTAGCCGGTGTAGAAGACAAGTATACTCTCTCAAAAATACAATTCAAACTTATGAATATGAGAGTATATAACTAGAAACACAAGCTCAAAGTGTGTGTAAAAAGTCAGGAGTTTAAGGCTCTTGAAATAGCCAAAATATTGAAAATAGTTAATAAAAGAATAAACACACTTAGAATATAAAGGGAAGATGTTTAGAGCTTTGTTTCTTGAAGAAATATGAAGGATTATGCTTGTATTTATAGTAGAAGATGTTAATTAGCCGTTGGGAGGTGATTAGGGTTGATTTAATTCAAATTTCGCAATCAGGAACAGTGCTGTAACGGATCCGGTAGGCAGGTGCCGTCCACACGGTAGCATGGTACTGTGCGTACGGTAGGGGGTACCGTGAGAGGCGGTACCTCGGTACCGTGTAGCACAAAAATCTCCATTCGATTCTAGCGACACCTGGTTAGGACGGGTGAGGCCATCCGTTCCGGTCTACCGTACGGTACCTGGGTACCGTCTCACGGTATAGGGGTACCGTGTAGGCGGTATACCCTACCGTCTGGGGTACCGTGCCATTGTCCTGATTTTTCCAAAATTCCCGTAATCCTCCGTGTTTGAGTTTAAAACCTTTTAGACATTTGAAAATGTTTATGGGATGGTTTTAAACATATTTTGTGAGTGCATTTCAGCTTGTGAATATAGGTATATAAAGTCATATTCTTACATCGGTTTCTACCTATATTCTACGCTAGTTTGGTGTTTCGACTTCATTCTTGAGTACCGAATCTTAATGGATTCTTGTTGTACCTGAAACACTTAAACAAACGTCAAGCTCTTATATTGTTTGTTAACATCAAAACATGAGGCTTAGCAAACCAAGGCTAACATAAATCTTAATTACTGCGCACCACGTAGATAATTAAAACTTATTGAGGACTGATTTGGGAAAATACCTTATTACAAAGGACTATTTTGGAAATAAATTTCAATTATAGAGGACCACGTAGGTAATTAAAACTTATTGAGGACTAATTTGGGAAAACCCCTTATTACAAAGGACTATTTTGGGTATTTACTCTAAAGAAAATGAAGAACCAAGAACTTCATACGGGGCAAGCTATCAAGTAAAGTAAATTGCAATCTAAAGACCGTAGGGGCATTTTATTCGTCGTTCCAAAAGGTGGAATTGCCCACCCCAGGCGCCCCCACCCCCTTGCCCGACAGGAATGGTGGAGGAAGTAAATCATGGTGACTCAATCAGCCAAGAACGCTAGACCCGTGCCCACCGCGCACAAGGAGCCTCCTCACCCTTTATGAGATTTTTGGATAGCTCCCACACTGCCGCTTGCGGGATTCGATCCCTGGTCATCGTTCCAAGCTTTCACGTTCTTGACCAACTTAGCTACCCATGCGGGCGTAGGGGCATTTTATTAAATTGGAGTAGAGGTGTATTATGTAGAGTGGAAAGGGAGGGTGGTAGTTGTGTAAGGTGGAGAGAATTGGGAGAAGGGTATTTAATTATTTGTAATTGTATTGTTTTGTGATAGGCTTCATGCACAATTACGGATCAATCCAATTCCAGCTTGATTTTATCTAGAAGTTCAAGAATGATCTTCTTAGCACAAATGTATATCTCAAGATCGATCCAATCTCATTTTTTACATTTACGGGTACCCTATTTAACACAAATTTACATTAGTTACATAAAATAAATAAATAAACACTATAATGTCAAAAAAATGAGTAATATTTACACTTTTTTCGTCGACGATGTAAAAAGATTTGATACGGACAACGTATCGGATAGGGAAGACTCAGAGCGTATTCGAGCTCGTGGGAATATGGGACTAGGAGAAGAAGAAGAATTGAGGCGAAGGAGGGAATCGGCGAACCGAGAGGGAGAAGGGATTAGGGTTTTGATTTGTTTATTGATTGAATAACTCTAAAGGGGATTACATCTCTTTATATAGGGAAGAAGGAAACCTAAAGCTAACCTAACGGTTCAATAAAAGCGACGAGGGAAAGAACCGTAAAGAAACCTCGAAGGAGCTTATAATTTCGCTCACCTAATAAAATCTAAATTACAATAATAATAATAATAATAATAATGATGATAATAATAATAATAATAATAATAATAATAATAATAATAATAAACTAATAAATATATAATCAAATATCCTACTATATAATCCATAACACTCTCACCCCCTTAGAAAACCACCTTGTCCTCAAGGTGGAGGCTCCCACTCATGCTTCAGTACTGGAGAGAAAATGATGACCCAAAGACTATGGCCACTTGATGTCAGATCTTCATTAAGCCTGCAGATTGGAGTATAGCGATGGGCATAAGCGAGAAGAGCAAATACAAACTTAGCTGCCCGCGGTGAAACCCAATACTCGGACTCCACTTTGTTCGCATGGTCTGGATGATATAAAAGGACAATGAGATGTCCGCTTGCGTATAATTCACATCTGCTACTTGGGTGGTTTTGGACGGAGGCACAAGGCTACATGCGATGATGGCATTGCACAATGTTTGATCCTTTGCAACTTCCCCCTTACCCGGTGCATCTACAGGTGTATCAACAACTACAAGATCTAATGGAAAGGCATTAACAATACCTTCAACAGAAACACCATCATTAGCAACTTCAAGAACTCTCACTGAATTATGAATAGTACGCTCCACAGATTCCATGTCCTTAGATGTTGGATTGTGTAGAGTGGTTGAAGGGGCTAGATCAAGTGGAGCAATGGGAACACCGAGAAGATTCCTTATATCTTTGTTTTGAAACTTTTTAACTCCAAGGGAATATCACTCAATGCCATTGGAGTACCACGCACCAAATCTTGTATCGAGAAAGAGATTTCCACATTGAACGCATATAACTCAGAATCAGAATACGGTAGATCTAAAAGATGACGAAATAAGTGGAGCGTCTTCAAGATTTCATCCACATGATCATAAGCTATACAGACTCCGTCATGAAACTCAACTGTTCCATAAAAGATATTCTTCAACACACCAAGAAGTTTGTTCAAAGCATCGTCCATGGTCACAATAATTTTATCCAAAATCGAAACCATAGTTGTGGCAAGACGGATCCAAAAAACCAATGCACTCAAATTGAAGGTAAATCTTTGAGACAACACAAAAAATGCAGCAAACCACTTCTCTCTTTTTTTTTTTGCAGAATCGGCCCTTTTCTTTTTGTTACACGGCAACAAGGAAAAGGGAACAAGCTCCTATTTTCCCACTTTGGGTGCAAATAGCACTCTTAAATTAACAAAATAGGGAGTACCTTTACAAAACTGGGTGAAGCAATCTCTTTGTCGGCCGCACGAACGGATCCGATTAAATTAACAAAATAGGGAGTACCTTTACAAAACTGGGTGAAACAATCTCTTTGTCGGCCGCACGAACGGATCCGAAACGGTTGGGTGCAAAATTGCTCGGCGATTGATATGTTCGGATTGATTTTTTGAATCTGCCGATGATTGATAACAATTCAACCGCAGGGTTTTTTTGGTTTTTATGGGTTGTCGGCGGGAGCAATTTAGGAATATGTGGCGGCAACTCCTTTTTGTTTATAATCCTCAAAACCCAATCACAAACTGAATACCAAGGTTTTGCAACTGCTTTTTGTTTATAATCACCAGCCTTAAGCAATTTCTTCCAGATGTTCAACCACTTTCAGATCTGATTGGACTTTTTTTGCTTCTTTTTTTAGGGTTTTGATTTTGTGGTGTCGACTCTCAATGAAAGCACCAATGATACGGACAACGTATCGGATAGGGAAGACTCAGAGCGTCTTCGAGCTCTTGGGAATATGGGACTAGGAGAAGAAGAAGAATTGAGGCGAAGGAGGGAATTGGCGAACCGAGAGGGAGAAGGGATTAGGGTTTTGATTTGTTTATTGATTGAATAACTCTAAAGGGGATTACATCTCTTTATATAGGGAAGAAGGAAACCTAAAGCTAACCTGACGGTTCAATAAAAACGATAAGGGAAAGAACCGTAAAGAAACCTCGAAGAAGCTTATATTTTTTTTTGAAACAAACAGCACATATATTAATCAACCACCAAATATTACACAGTCTGATCTCAACCCTCTAAACACTGCCAGCCCCCTAATCTTAGAAATTATACTTAGGCTTTACATGTGTAGTAACATGATATTTAACATATTCAACACTATCTATTGCATTCCATCTCTTCTTTCCATGGACTATGTTGTTCCTGGCCTTCCAAATTATATAGAAGCACGCTGCCACCAAGGCTGCTCTTCTCTTCCTCTCCTTCCTGTTGCTTCCCCTCACAATTTTGTCTTCCATCTCCTTAATATTGCCAGCAGTAAGGTCAGTTCCAGCCCATTGAGAAACCTTCTGCATTATCTCCATAGTGAATTCACAAGTGCAGAATAAGTGGTCAATACATTCCTCACTGTTACCACAGAGGCAGCACGTAGTATCTGTCTGCATAAACTTGCTCAATCTAGCTTAAGTTTGTATTCTTCCCTTCCATATCAACCACATAATGATCTGGTGCTTGGGAAGAGACCAGTTGCTCCAAACAAGGTCAGCCCATTTTACACTCTCTTTTTTTCCCATTAGCCATGAATATCTCTCTCTAGTGTTGTACTCTCCATTCATAGACATGTTGGTGAAGTCATTTCTTACTTTAAGCATTTTCCTCCAATAATAACAAACATCCCCTTTAGGGTTGTACTGCCACACTGTCTCTTGCTTCAAATATCTTCCATGGACCCATCTGACCCACAAGATATCTTTCCTATTAGCTACATCCCATAACAGCTTCATCACATTGGCCTTATTCCAGTTAACCAGATTCTTCAATCCAATCCCACCTTTGTTTTTGGGCAGGCAAGTCTCTTCCCAATTAATCAAAGGACTTCTTTTATATGAAGCAGTTGCACTCCATATGAAGTTCCTACAGATATCTTGGATCCTCTTCATCACCTTATTGGGAATGATAAAGATTCTAGTCCAGAAGAAGATAACCCCATACAGAACAGAATTGATCAATCTAGCTCTACTTGCATAAGATAAATGTTTAGTAGCCCATGAGTTTACCTTGCAAGTGATCTTTTCCACCAACACATCACACTCTCTCTGTCCAATTCTGGCTGCTGTTATGGGCCCACCTAGGTATCTGAAAGGAAAGTCACCCTTAGGGATATTAGTGAGCTCCAATATCCTCGTTTCAATTTCCTTCCTTACTCCTCCAGTTACTATCTGTGACTTGGCTTGGTTGATGTGCAAACCAGATTAAGTATACAGTTCACTGATTTTTCATCTGCTTTACTCACAACAATTAAGTAATCAGCAAAAACCAGATTAACAAGTTTATAACTTTTACACATTGGGTGGTAGGTGAAGGAGCTATTGTCAGTATAGTAATGCAGAACCCTAGTAAGATAATCCATGATTATCACAAACAAAAGTGGAGATACAGGATCCCCTTGCCTTAGCCCTTTTCCTCCCTTGAAGAAACCATATAGATCACCATTCAACTGTATGGAATAAGCTGTACTGGTAATACAGAAATTGATCCACTTTATGAATATGGGAGGGAATTTCAAAGCTGCCATAATCTGCAGAACTGCTTTCCAACTTACAGAATCATATGCCTTTTTAATGTCCAGCTTCATCATGCACCTGGGTGATATCCCCTTCCTTTTTCACCTGGGTGAACTTGTAATTTTGCTCACCTAATAAAATCCAAATTACAATAATAATAATAATAATAATAATGATAATAATAATAATAATATTAATAAGAATAATAATAATAATAAACTAATAAATATATAATCAAATATCCTACTATATAATCCATAACAAAATTCTAGTCTTTGCCGCACCTATAGGTAGGCACTTCCAATCAATCTGCATAATCACAACCACAAAATAAAAAAATAAAAACCTTTTGAACACAAATTTGAAGCATAAAATAACACAAGTTTGAACTAAGTAGTCAAGAAGAGCAGCCCGATAGAGGAAAAGCAAGCAATTAATTAGCTAACTGGTCAAAACGTAAACACATTCACTTTGTCAAAATGTAAATAATTACTAAGCAAATTTAACTAAATGTAAAGAGATACTCATCAAATTACTTGAACAAACTAAGGCCCCGTTTGGTATACGGAATTCAAACTATGGAATTGGAATTGATGACTTCAATTCCAATTCTCGTGTTTGGTAGCACAAAAATATGTTGATTTGGAATTGGTAGTGCAAAAAATGAACTGTTATTGGTGAATTCAATTCTATAGAATTTGAATCCCATTAAACTTTAATTCCAATTCAATTCCAATTCCATCAATTCTGTGTACCAAACGGACCCTAATTACTCAAAACGTAGACATTGTAAACAATTACATTCCTGTTTTGAGCCATTAGTGATCGATGAAGAGCAGATTGAGTTCAATTATTGTGCACAACAGCAAATTGAGTTCAAATGGGACACTGTGTAAAAGGCAAAAGAGGGACGACCCAAATCTCATCAAAACCCACAGAAACAAATCACAAAGGCAAAGATGCATAAGTGTTAAAATTCCGGCGGGCCGATAACAACGGATAGAGTGTCGGGTAAAATTAACCACTTGCATATAAAGTCGGGATCCACAATTCTAACCCAAAAGCTTAAGCTTATAGGTAGGGCTTCACCCTTCTATATATGCAAGTGATACTCATCTACTCCAACAATAAGATGGAAGATGTTGCAATACCTAAATATCGAAGAAAAGCAGAAACTTCGTACCTTTCAATACGCATATCCTTCATCGTAAATTACCTTAAGTCCTATGGGTCTACTGCATTTGTGTATTGAAGAAGAAAGAAGTGAGGATTAAAAAGAGTTTCACCCTCTGTCCTTCTAAATTCCCACACCGACGTCGTCCCTTCCGAGCCTCACAAGTGGCCTCATCCTCCCTTTGGCGCCCAACTCGATCACGCCACAGGCAACATCTATGCAAGGGGCTTCTACGGTGAGAGGTCCCCTTGGTGGCTGGTTATCAAGGCACTTGGGGCCCCCGGACACGGTGCCAAGCTCTATGACAATACTGCTATGGAGAATCTTTTTAAGAGCATCGAAAGCATAAGGAGGTTCAGAGCTGCTCAGTTCGACTTGGTCAAGGCTGGCCTGAAGGCTGAAGGAGATGTCATCTCTGTCAATATGGTGTTCCTGAGAGCTGGCACCCCTTCCCCCAATGTAAAAGTCCCTGATTTTTTATTATTTATGGGATGGATCCATGTAGATCTGGTTCATAACCTCTTTCTGCAGAGCACTGCAGGGTGTATAATTAATCACTACAATGGGGCCAAGTGTATTCAGTTTGGCTATGCAGTTGTTCTCCAGTTATGATGCCACACTGTTGCGTTTTCTACTACGGAGTAGTATTTTATTCTCCTCATGGAGAGCTCTGTCTTGATTTTTTTTTTTTTGGGATGATCATCTTATGTCAAAGTGGACTGACCTGATTTGCATTTTACATTGATGGCTACTGTAATTTATATGATTTCCTTTCCATTTTCACAGGGCTTTGTCATGAACTTGCAGCCATCTGAAGCCGAAGCAGGCTTTGATGTTCGAGTTCCACCGACTGCTGATCAGGCCTCATTGGAGAGGCAAATTGCTGAGGAATGGGCACCTGCTTCACGCAACATGACCTTTGAGGTATCTGAAGCCATATATGTGTCTGTCACCTAAAACAAGTACAAAATATATATCTTATAATGAAATATAAATAAAATGAAATAGCATTTTTTATGGCAATTTAATATTCCCATCACTTCATATGTTTTTCCCCGTTTTTCTTTTGGGCCGTTCCATATATTTCTTCTCGTTTCCAAAAATATAAATAAAATGAAATAGACATTTTTGCCCTTTAAAGTACACCAATTTATTTCCTTTCCAGTCCAACTATTTCCTCTTCATTCTCTTGAACCTCTTGCCGCCGCTACCATACTCGCCCTTCACTCGTCGCTTCCGTATTTTTTTTTAACCTGGAGCTCAATTGTAAACGGTAAACCCCACAATCATCTCAAAGAAAAACCTAGAAAACATTCCAACCCACCAAGTGAAATTTGCACTAAATAGTACTAAAACAAATGTTTTTCCCCAATGTAGTATCTAAACTTTTTATTTCCTAAATAGTATTTGAACAACGTCTAGTGGCGAGAACAATGACAAGTGACGGTGGACATTTACTTTTAAAAATGTTCGGTGGCGGTGGATATTTACTTGAACGATGGACATTGAATACAGTGGTACTAAATTGAGAAATTAATACATATGGTATTACATTGGAAACTTACTATGTTTTAGTACTATATAGGTAAATTCCCTACCGCTAATCGAAAATACTGTTGGATAAGCCCGTTTACCGGGTATTAATTACTCTCTCCATCTTGTTTTAAATGGCCTGTTTTGACTTTTGGGCATATTTAAAGAAAAGAAAAAATAAAGTTAATTTTTCGAAATTGCCATTACTTTTTAGGAGGGATGATGGTGAATGAGAAGATAATGTGGAGAAAAATGACTTATTTTAGGGGTAGTTTAGGTATTTTACTCTTAAAAGTTTACGAAAACAAGTAACAGACAACTTATTTTAGGACGGAGAAAAAAGACAAACATGCAATTTAAAATGAGACGGAGGGAGTACTTATTTTTAGGGGCGGCCCAGTCTGTTGGGCCGGCTCATTAGTTTGTATGTGGACTCAAACCCTAACCCTAACTCCCAAAATTTATACCCCTCTTCTAGGAAGAGGGTAGAGAGGGAAGGAGGCTCAATACTACACAATACCCACACTATTCATCATCTTCTTCACACTTTTCTCCTTCTTCCTCTACCCTTGAGTTCCTTAACCCAACAAGTTGCATGTCAAAAAGACTTGTGAGTAATGTTTAAATAATAATTTTTTTAGTTTTGGCCTCGAGCTCTAGAGGTAACATCACCTTTTTTGGCCAAATTTTTAATTCATCAAAAAACTTGTTAAATTTGACATGGATATTTATATTTGCATGTAAAATCCTTTCTAAAAGTTTCATGTCAAAAAGACCTCTCAGTAATGTCTAAATTATTATTTTTTTAGTTTTGGCTTCGAGCTCTAGGGGTAACATCATATTTTTTTGACCAAATTTTAAATTCATCAAAAAATTTCCCAAATTTGACATGGATATTTCTATTTGCATGTAAAATACTTTGTAAAAGTTTCATGTCAAAAAAACATGTCAGTAATGTATTTTTTAGTTTTGGCATCGAGGCGTAGGGGTATCATCACACTTTTTGGCCAAATTTTAAATTCATCAAAAAACTTTCCAAATTTGACATGAATATTCTTTTTGCATGTAAAATCCTTTCTAAAAGTTTCATGTAAAAAAGATTTTCCAGTACTATCTAAATTATAATTTTTTTTAGTTTTGACCTCGAGCTCTAGGGATACCATCACATTTTTTGGCAAAAATTTAAATTCATCAAAAAAAATTTCCAAATTTGACATGGATATTTCTATTTGCATGTAAATTCCTTTGTAAAAGTTTCATGTCTAAAAAACATGTCAATAATGTATAAATTATAATTTTTTTAGTTTTGGCCTCGAGCTCTAGGGGTATCATCACAATTTTTTGCCAAATTTTAAATTTATCAAAAAAATTTCCATATTTGAAATGGATTTTCTATTTGCATGTAAAATTCTTTGTAAAAATTTCATGTCAAAAAAACATGTTAGTAATGTATAAATTATAACTTTTTTTTAGTTTTGGCCTCGAGCTCTAGGGGTACCATCACATTTTTTTGGCAAAATTTTAAATTCATCAAAAAAATGCAAATTTGACATGGATATTCCTTTTGCATATAAAATCCTTTTTAAAAGTTTAATGTCAAAAACATTTGTCAGTACTATCTAAATTATAATTTTTTTTAGTTTGGGCTTCGAGCTCTAGGGGTACCATTACTTTTTTTTGGGAAAATTTTAAATTTATCAAAAAAGTTTCTAAATTTGACATGTATATTTCTATTTGCATGTAAAATCCTTTGTAAAAGTTTAATGTCAAAAAAACATGTCACTAATGTATAAATTATAGTAATTTTTTTAGTTTGGGACTCGAGCTCTAGGGGTACCATCACATTTTTTGGCCAAATTTTCAATTCATCAAAAAAACTTGCCAAATTTGACATGGATATTCTTTTTGCATGTAAAATCCTTTCCAAAAGTTTCATGTAAAAAAGATTTGTCACTACTATCTAAATTATATATTTTTTAGTTTAGGCCCCGAGCTCTAGGGATATGATCACATTTTTTGGCCAAATTTTAAATTCATAAAAAACTTGCCAAATCTGACATGGATTTTTCTATTTGCTTCTAAATTCCTTTATAACAGTTTGATGTCAAAAAAACTTGACATTAATATCTAAAGTATAATTTTTTTAGTTTTGGCCTGGAGGTTTAGGGGTAACATCACATTTTTTGGCCAAATTTTAAGTTCATCAAAAACTTTGCCAAATTTGACTTGGATATTTTTGTTTGCATGTAAAATCCTTTCTAAAAGTTTCATATTAAAAAGACTTGTCGTAATGTCTAAATTATAATTTTTTTAGTTTTAGTCTCGAGGTCTAGGGGTACTATCACATTTTTTGGCCAAATTTTAAATTCATCAAAAAACTTTCCAAATTTGACATGAATATTTATAATTTCATGTAAAATCCTTTCTAAAAGTTTCATGTCAAAAAGATATTTCAGTAATGTATAAATTAAAATTTTTTTAGTTTGGGACTCGAGCTCTAGGGGTACCATCACATTTTTTGGACAAATTTTAAATTCATCAAAAAACATGCGAAATTTGACATGGGTATTCTTTTTGCATGTAAAATCCTTTCCAAAAGTTTCATGTAAAAAAGATATGTTAGTACTATCTAAATTATAATTTTTTAGTTTTGGCCTCGAGCTCTAGAGATACCATCACATTTTTGGCCAAATTTTAAATTCATCAAAAAACTTGCCAAATTTGACATGGATTTTTCTATTTGCTTCTAAATTCCTCTGTAACAGTTTGATGTCAAAAAAAGTTGACATTAATATCTAAATTATACAAATTGTTTTAGTTTTGGCCTCGAGCTCTATGGATACCATCACATTTTTAGCCAATTTTTAAATTCATCAAAAAATTTTCCAAATTTGACATGGATATTTCTATTTGCATGTAAAATCCTTTGTAAAAGTTTCATGTCAAAAAGACTTGTCAGCAATGTATAAATTATTATTTTTTCAATTTTGGCCTCGAGCACTAGGGGTAACATCACATTTTTGGCCAAATTTTAAATTTATCAAAAAATTTCCCAAAATTGACATGGATAATTATATTTGCATGTAAAATCCTTTGTAAAAGTTTCATGTCAAAAAAACATGTCAGCAATATATAAATTATAATTTTTTAGTTTTGGCCTTGAGCTCTAGGGGTTCCCATCACATTTTTTGGCCAAATTTTAAATTCTTAAAAAAATTTTCCAAATTTGACATGGATATTTCTATTTGCATGTGAAATCCTTTGTAAAAATTTCATATCAAAAAAACATGTCAGTAATGTATAAATTATAATTTTTTTGGTTTTGGCCTCGAGCTCTAGGGGTACCATCACATTTTTTGGACAAATTTTAAATTCATCAAAAAAGTTGCCAAATTTGACATCGATATTCTTTTTGCATGTAAAATACTTTCCAAAAGTTTCATGTAAAAAAGATTTGTTAGTACTATCTAAATTATAATTTTTTTAGTTTTGGCCCCGAGCTCTAGGGATACCATCACATTTTTGGCCAAATTTTAAATTCATCAAAAAACTTGCCAAATTTGACATGGATTTTTCTATTTGCTTCTAAATTCCTCTTTAACAGTTTGATGTAAAAAAAAGTTGACATTAATATCTAAATTATACTAATTTTTTTAGTTTTGGCCTCGAGCTCTATGGGTACCATCACATTTTTGACCAATTTTTAAATTCATCAAAAAATTTTCCAAATTTGACATGGATATTTCTATTTGCATGTAAAATCCTTTGTAAAAGTTTCATGTCAAAAAGACTTGTCAGTAATGTATAAATTATAATTTTTTCAATTTTAGCCTCGAGTACTGTGGGTAACATCACATTTTTTGGCCAAATTTTAAATTCATCAAAAAATTTCCCAAATTTGATATCGATATTTCTATTTGCAAGTAAAATCCTTTGTAAAAGTTTCATGTCAAAAAAACATGTCAGTAATGTATAAATTAATTTTTTTTAGTTTTGGCCTTGAACTCTAGGGGTACCATCACATTTTTCTGGTGAAATTTTAAATTAATCAAAAAACTTGCCAAATTTGACATGGATATTTCTAATTGCGTGTAAAATCCTTTGTAAAAGTTTCTTGTCAAAAAACATGTTAGTAATGTATAAATTATAATTTTTGTAGTTTTTGCCTCGAGCTCTAGGGGTACCATCACGTTTTTTGGCTAAATTTAAATTTATCAAAAAACTTTACAAATCTGACATGGATTTTTATATTTGCTTTTAAATTCCTTTGTATAAGTTTGATTTCAAAAAAACTTATCATTAATATCTAAATTATAATTGTTTTAGTTTTGACAACGAGGTTTAGGGGTAACATCAGATTTTTTGGCTAAATTTTAAGTTCATCAAAAACT